GTCTTAAACTAAAACACATCAGCTGTCTAGTGCTTTTGTTTTTTTTTCGATAGTACTCCACATAATTAGAATTTGTGGTGAAAATCATCTTCGAAATGTATAAAATTACCAAAGTGGCTACTACTCACATTTTTATGGATGGATTAAGTGATATTCAGTGACCATTGAGAAATTATCAACATAAAAGTCTATCAAATATTTTTGTATCTTTGCGACAGACTAATTTTTGAAACAAATACCACAATATTCTCGTTAAACCTATTAATTGAAGACATGTAAGCATACATCTACTGGTAAACTATATTCTACGTAAAGATCTATTCAGTAAAATCATTTTTAACTTATATAATTGTGCTAAAAATGCTTTGAATTTAGTTGGTGATAAGCGAATATTAATTTGTATGTTGCGACAAAATCTTCGTTTAGACTAGATTACAGATGAGTATTAAGATGTACGTATTATGAAAGGTGCTTTTTGATAAACAATATGTTGCGAATTAAAAAAACCTATGGGCAAAGTATTATTAAGTTTTTTTTCAACATAATCCACCAGAGACTACTTTCATTTCAAACTAATGAGGTGCTGGTTAATATTAAGTATTGTTTCTTCATTCAGTTCATTTTTATTTGTTAACCTTTTCACTCAACCTTTAATACTCAGTTTTGAACTCCCCTGACTTCCTCAATCAAGTGAAATTGTAGGAAACCTAAAACAAACTGTATAAATCTCGAATAGTGACATGTTCAATATATATATATATATATATCAATAGCCTACGTAGTAGGATGTTTAACAAAATAACACTAAATTCCGAACGATAGTTTAGTATACCTTCTGTGATTAATTATTAGCTTATACACCAATTGTGGTTACGCTAGGAGAATATATAATCTTTACGATTTCTTTGACTTTAGATTTTTGTTTTTTATAATCCAGAAGCATTAGATTTATTACTGTTTATCTATTTACAAATATTAAGTGAATGTTTAAGCTGAAATTACATCGACCAGTGGAGATAAGAAATGAACTTTTCCTTCCGGCCTGGTTGTGTAAAACGGAAAGTTGCACGCTGTTAACTTTATTACTTGTAAGTAGTTAATGACTTTAGGGAAAGTTTTTTTCATGAAAATTGATTAGTAAATGAATAGATCTATCACTTTTTTTAACTGAATAACATATAAACAATATTTCAGTCTGCTATAAATGATCCGTGTGAGCGAATAACAAGGATTACACCGTAGAGGTAGTGATATATGAATTAAGTCAGCTATAGAATTAGGAAAAAACACCAACAACACATGAAATCATGTTGTTTTCTAACTTACTATTGAAATTCGAATAATGAATTTGATTATCCTTTATGTTTGCAGAATATAGTCGCTGAATAACAGTAATTTCCCCACCTTGTGTAAATACTGAAAACTTTCTCGATTTTATACAACGCAGATTATTTAAGAGTGGTTAATAAACCTTTGGCTATAATTTAATCATTGTATTTTAAGTTCTTAAAATATTATATCATAATTTCGCTACTGCTCATACTACTAGAAGGATAATTAATCCATTTGGATTTCTTAGGTTACTGAAATTACGGATTCCGTTATCAAAAAAATATTAGCAGTTTCATACGACTGAATTTGAAGGTATTTTTCAGTGTTGATATAATGGCACTTGTTTTAACGGCGATTGTTAATTTCATGCGTCTAACGAAAATTGCAACACATTTATTTTGATACCTAGAGTCGAAATCTTCGTTTCTAGTTATTAATTCCAAGATAATGTTATTCAAGTCCATGGATCCTGAATATAGAAAACATTTGCACTAGACGGTACAGAGAAACGCCCCCAAATGCCCTGGTATGGCCGAGAGTGGGGTGGGCCCTCCCTCCTACTCGAAATGCTCTCACATGGCCACGCGTATACAGCCTCTGCCAGGGAAGTCCTACTCATTGCCTTCTCGTGGCGGGGGTGTTGTTTACGAAATTGAGAGGACGAAAAGCGAATGTCCGGCGCTTTAACCGGACTCTAAACCAATCGTGCACATGGGCTCCAGTATCCTGGGGAACAAATGGCGTATGAACCAATTGTTGGTCACCGGCTAACATGGGACTGCATCTCCTCACGATGCTCCACTGCCTTGTGGGTCAGACCTTTAGGTCAAAGGCTCGGAGTGTTGCCCTCTAAGAAGACCACCTGATTCGGTCTGGGCACCCGGGCAGTATCACAGCCCACACACAAACAGAATGAGATGACGATACTTACGGAAAATACTATTCTTCCTTCGATTAACAGTCAAACGATTCACATTATTATTATTACTGTTATTTACTACGTCATTTATTCACTCTCTTTTAGTCCCACTTCATGTATACTTATTTTTCGACCTATACAGCAGCTCACCTATGGTGGAAATTCGGTTCTATCTAAATGTTCTCGAGTCACTGACCGGTTGAAAATTGAATGCTACACCAAATACGAATACTGAAGCAGTTTTTCTGAAACCACGTGCACCATTCAAACTGGCTGCCTTCAAAGTTTGCACATTTATGCAGGTCGGACAACAGATAGGGCTGGCTATGTCTTTGGAAAGTCTTAATATCGACGTTTGTTGTCCATACGAGACCCGTATTCAAAACTCTAGTGAGGTACTGCAAATTTACTCTCCATCTATCGCTTCAAAAAGCTTGTTTTACGTGCGCTTAGCCTGAGACCCTGCGGCATCTTCTTCTGGTCTTGCTGGTATTGATGTCGCACTAAGCGCTAGAGCTGAGACAGCACTAATCGATTGGATCCCCATTAACAGTCGGTTATGTGCTGTTAGATTAGAAAGTTCCATCAAAGTGAGAAGAAATCGGCGTGAGAAACGATGTTTTTTCGTCATCTCCGCCTATGCCCCGACAGATTGCAGCCCGGATGCAATCAAGGATGAATTCTACCACCAGTTAATCGTTCTTCTTCAGTAATACTAGCCGGAGACTTGAAAGCTCAGGTCGGGCATCTAGGCACAGAAGAGAGTCGTTTAGGTGGCCGATGGGGACTTGTTGGTCGCAGGTCAGATAACGGAGACCGTCTACTGCAACTTTGCACAGACCACAACCTGTTTCTGGCTAGCACTAACTTTCGGCACAGTCATCGCCGATATGCCACCTGGCGTCCTCCCTCTGCATCTCAAGCCTGGACTCAGATTGATCACATCGCGATCAGCGACCGCTGGCGTGGTTGTGTACAAGACTGCCGCTCCTTTTGGAGTACCTATCTGGATTCTGATCATGCCCTGGTCCGCGCCAATCTTACCTTGCTTTTCAGTGGCCAACGAAGTGACCACCACCAAAAGATTGATGTCAGCAAGCTGGTTGCAACTTCTGTTGCAAGTAAGTATCGAACCGAGCTAGCCTCTAGGCTAGCTACCACTCCACCGAAAAGTATAGATGAGCATTGGTTGCAACTGCATGACGCCGTCAAAATGGAGAGTAAAGCCACTTGCGAATTCGTGAAACGTCCCTCTTATAAGCACTGGGTTTCTTCAGGCTCCATACAACTCATTGAAGCCCATTAGTCTACTCCGGGTGACCGTGAGTTTGACCACAAACAAAGGTTGTTACGTAATGAAATTGGGCAAAGCTTGCGTAAGGACCAAGAAGCCTGGTGGTCGGAGCGTGCTAATAAGCAGCTACATTTGGTAACTACCGGAAGCTCTTCCAGCTCATCCGAGCCACTGGCAGCAAGAAGTCTGGTGTAAGCGAAACAATCTGTGAGGATGATGGGACGCCAATCGCTAACATCCATCGACGTCTTGGACGATGGGCAGAATTTTTCGAAGGGCAGTTCAACTGGCCTGCTGCTCCGGCAACATCGGTCAGACTGTCCTGCCCTCCATGGCAGGTGACGACTGATCCACCAAATGAGGAGGAAGTCCGCAAGGAACTCCAACTCTTGAAGCGTTACAAATCACCTGGCCCAGATGACTTACCTCCAGGTCTTTTTAAAGATGGTGGTGACTTTTTGACTAAGGAATTGACGACGTTGTTTACAAGAGTCTGGGAACTAGAGAGTGTACCAACGTCATGGAATGAGTCGATAGTTGTCCCTATCTTTAAAAAGGGTTCACGTCGTTCCTGTAACAACTATCGGGGGATACGTCTACTTCCGATTGCGTCCAAGCTATTGGCTTCCGTCATTCTTCGTAGGTTGTTCAAAACCCGAGAAAGATTGACTCGCGAGGAGCAGGCTGGGTTTCGTTCTGGTCGAGGATGTATTGATCATATATTCACCCTCCGCCAAATGTTAGAACACCGCCATACTTTTCAAAGGCCAACAATCGTAGTGTTTCTTGACATCAGGGCTGCCTTCGATTCGTTGGATAGGACTGTTCTCTGGGGTTGTCTATTGAAGAAGGGTGTGCCTGAGAAGTTTATTAACATCTTAAAGGTCCTATATACAAACACCTCAGGCAGAGTGAGGGCATGCAACCACCTCTCTCCATTGTTCCATTCGAGCAGTGGGGTTAGGCAGGGTTGCCCAATCTCACTATTCCTTTTCAACTTTGCCATCGATGACATTCTGGAAACAGCTCTGATGAATGTAAGTAATGGTGGTGTGGATCTGTTACCTGGAGAAAGACTTCTCGACCTTGAGTATGCGGACGATATTGTCTTACTGTGCGATAATGCCCAAGGCATGCAATCCGCACTTAATCAGTTGGCAATCAGTGTCCGTAGGTATGGTATGTGCTTTGCACCTTCGAAGTGCAAAGTACTTCTACAAGACTGGCAGGATTCTAATCCTGTACTCACCCTGGATGGTGAACAGATAGAAGTAGTCGAGAAGTTCGTGTATCTAGGTAGCTGCATAAGTGCTGGTGGGGGCGTGAATGATGAGGTCAATGCACGTATAATGAAAGTCAGAGCGTCTTATGTCAATCTGGGCCACCTTTGGCGCCTTCGTGATGTCAGTTTGGCTGTAAAATGTCGGATCTGCAACGCGTCAGTGAGAGCAGTTTTGCTCTATGCTCGTGAGACCTGGCCTCTCCGGGTTGAGGATGTGAGACGACTCTCTGTGTTCGATCATCGTTGTCTCCGAAGGATTGCTGACATCAAGTGACAACACCATGTCAGTAATGCAGAGGTTCGGCATCGTGTGTTCGGGCACAGAGATGATAATTCAATTGGTGTCACCATCATGAAACACCGATTTCGGTGGCTCGGACATGTTCTACGAATGTCGTCCCAGAGAATTCCACGTCGTGCATTATTTGCCGACTCTGGGACTGGTTGGAAGAAGCGGAGAGGTGGTCAGTGCATGACATGGTGTCGGGGTATGAAAGAAAGCTGCAAAGAACTGACTTCTGTTGGTCCTTCACGACTCCCTGGCTGGGGTCCGAGAGATGGTGAGACACAGTGGCTAGAGACGTTATCAGATATGGCTCAGAATAGAAGCCAATGGCGATCCTGTTGTAACCTTCTTTTACTTTCTTCATAAAAAGTGGTTGTATCTTCCTTAAGTGAAAGAATTCTTCTGGTTGTACCTTTTCGTTCCGTCGTTAATACCACACTACCTTACTCCAATCTCTTCGTCACAGTTCTCTTTTTCTTTTGCGCTCCTTAGTTTTTTTTTCTACTTCTCTTCGAATTCTCATTGTTTTGTGTGGCGCATATATATTGGCGCTCCCTTGTACCAATATTCATGTGTTCAAATAAATAAATAAATAATAAAATGTTGCTATATTATAAAAACGTCAGGCGTTAGCTTCATAAGAACAAAATAAAAATCGAAAATATGACTAATACAACAACAGTTTAGGATTTTATTTTAAGCATAAAAAATGCAAGGTAAAATATAAAACTATGAAGAAATCACAAAAATCTCTGATTTATACACATTGAATTACGACAGAATATATATACATAAGGTTTAAATACATTGAAAAAATTATGATGGATTTAAGTAACCACCAGATACAAAAGAAATACCCTCTTTAGATAGATTACTGTAAGCGTTCAAAATAATGGTACGGTTTTTAATCGGAAGTCTCTCATATAAAGGTTTAGAGGATAACGGATGATCCAATGATTCTTCTCTATCATTTAACCATTTTACGACCATCCCAGGATCATTACGTCTCAAAATACTGGGAGAAAAACCAAGCCCACTACGATGAGCAACAGTCTGCGGAGAATCAAACACAGATCGGATATATACAGATTTTGTTGCGTGTCCTATTTTACAGGAGTTTGATCCCCCACTGAATAACTGCTTGTTAGAACTGCGTGAGATTCGCTCCCCGTAGTAACCAAGACCCTTCCGAACTCTGGGTGGAAGACTACCTTCACAAGTTATAGGAACTTTTATCCCCGAAGAAACTTTAGGATGACCTCTTTTAGCTCCGAGTCCAGTACCTGGAATCCAACCCATCCGTTTTAATAGTTGCCCACCATAACCCTGCCGAAAACGTTTAGGAGAGTAGGAAAACTCAACATAATTTACTGGTGACAAATTTGAACAAATAAACTGTAAACACAACATTTTTCTACATTCTTACCGCATCCTTTTTTTAAAGTTCCTACTTACTTACGCCTGTTACCCCTCGTGGAGGAGGATTTCGTTTCTGTTTTGTAGAAACAGTAAACGGTCATTGTTATACGAAGCTAGGTAAGTAGAAACACAACCAACAGTGTGGTTTCAAATAATTTATGACAAAATTACACTTCCAAACCAAGACTTAATACTAATTGTAAACAATCTCAATTTACAACCTAAACACGATATATGATGCGCTACACATGATATACCTTTTGTCGATAGTAGTTAACAATCAACTCATATATTTAACGTTCACTTTAGCTGAACAGTAGAGAATCGAAATGCATTCAAAGGTAGATTATTAGCACTTAATGAGTTACCTTATCTAAAAGTGGATCCCTAATTAACTATTTCATCGATAATATCGCTGATTATAATCTCTGTTGTAAGTCATACCCGGTAAGTCTAAACATATATTTATTATTGACTGAACTTGCTTTCAAGTACTCGGTTTTAGACAACACGTTTACGAGGGCTGGAGATACTACACAGATATCTAAACCAAAGTTGGTAGATTGAGGCTTGGATCGGTGATCCATTGGTTTCCCAATCCCAAAGCTACTACTTTATACAAATATTATCATTTTTCCATATTTTCGCCACTTACTAATTTAGAAATACTAAAACCCTAGCAAAAACTAGATGACAAGAGACGAATCATATACAAAACGTCTTCATGAAGGCACATAATAATCAAATTTAAAATTAATAATCATTCCGAAAAGCAAAATGAAGACCCAAATAAGAGAGACTCTCAGTTTCCATTGTAGAGCATATCAGCTACTTTAGATCGATCGAAAAGGTATTTCGGTCTGTACCAACATGTATGTGGATTATAACTTGACGCAAACACCTTTCATCCGATTATACTATTTCAACCAAACTAAAATTTGGACCGCAATATAAGTCAACTGAACAGGTTTCACTGTTAAAACATACTACCGAATCTCGACGCGACTTATATAATCCCCCTATCTTACTCAAGTACCTTAACAGTGAGCAATGAAAGGATACAGCAAATTTCCTGATATTCCCAGTCTGTAACTGCCATTTCATTTTACAAATTAGTCTGTTTGAGTAGTCAAGTAGTCTTCCAGTGATTTTTTGTACCTCGTTTCTAACAGAAATATATACTTGAAAATTTCACAAAAGAATATTTATTAGACTAAAAACTAAAAGGACCAAGAAGACTCACTTTGGTAATTACTTCGCTGGTAAAAAGGGCATACGGATTATGTGCAAGGTCTTGAACACGAATAGATTCCCTTTCTCGATTTATATCAATAAGTTCAGCTGTATCTCTATCTCCACCCTGAAATCCATTTGGACACGGACCCGTACCAATGCCAGTTGGTGTTTCATATGGCTGCATGTCTATATCCCAATCGAAAGATGAGGGTTCGTCAAAAATTTCTTCTTTTCTTAGTGGGTCTAACTTCTCCCAAGTACGTTGATCAGTGTGGAAAACTAGGCCAGATCCACCCTTTTCCCAAACAAGTTCAATTTTACTTTCATACTTTAACTGTGCCTTGTTCCCTCTGTCTAAATTGTACGGGTCGTCATGTAATGCTTCGAAACGATCCCATTCTTCTGGTATATCATCCTCATCCTCAAAACTAACTGGGTCTGAAACTAATTCTAAAACATTACTGGAGGGTGCACGACGCTAAAACAGAGTTTTTAAATTTAAATTACTAAAATTGAGTGAAAAACTAAGTATAAAGAATTAAACACATTTTTGCTATAGCGAATGGTGTAAAGCTTCTAGAAGCACATCCAAAGACATTCCTATCATGAAGAGACTTTAATTACTTTTAAGATAGTAGTGAAACAGAAAATATTCATTACAGAGACCATTACGTTAGCGTCAAAATAAGGAAAAAACAAAAACTGAATACAGAATAACTCTAAAATCTATAGAAAAATGACACATTTTAAGTTATTGTGACTATATGAGTCCCGCTAAACCAAAGGCCACATTAATGTAAGCACGATTCCAAATGCTGTCCCTTTAACTGTTGAAACAGCGACAACTTTTTATAGACAATGATGAACTGTGTAAGTTATTGTTTTTATGAACCCTATTTGATTTACTGTTACAGAAATCAGCGTGTGTTGAACAAACAACCAAAATATTACAAACTACTTGTATGTGCATTTCTCAACCACATCTGTAGAGGGGTTACATAGAAGTTCTAAAGTGAGATTTGAAATTAAGACTCCATTGTTAAGATTTTACACCTTACACCACTATGTCAGGTCTACTCATGGAATTCGAAACTCTTGATTTTAAACACTACATTGGTCAAACAAATTTTTATATAGTCATCACAAACAAATCTTTGTATCTTTCTACAATTCATGTCTAAGCCGCTTCTAATCCTCGCCCCCGTCGATCCAGGGTAACCGCAAAACATCTTCGAACTTCACTTAGTTAGAATCAGGTTACAAGCTTTTAATGCTAAACCAAATCAATAACCAAGTGGATGTTCTTATACATCAAAACCCTAATTGTGTGGTGATGGCAACATATGACGGTCTAAAACAAAAGCGTTTTTTACCTATGGCTCAAGTCAAGCACTTAAGATTCTGATTTACAGAAATTTAGATGTATTCAAGGTGATCACTTAGTTTTTTGAGCCTACCACTATATATGTTGGATACAAATGTTGATATAAATGAAGTGTTAGTCAGTTGTCTACTCAAGTCAATTAAACAACGAACATGAGATTATAAAGGGTACATACAATAAACTATCCGTGGAAATTTACCATCTGAAATTCTTCAATCAGTACAAAGAATTTATAGCAACAAAACTAACAGTTCACTACCTACAGAAAGTTGAATACGCACTTCTGTGTAGTCGCAACTTTTACTGATGGAAACAGCTATTAAACTGAAGAGCAATAACATGCCGGCGTTGAATATTCTATCAATATGATTTGCAAACTTCTATGGGGTGTAAGTTATAGAATCGCGTGACAATTTACATATCCTTAGCGAACACCATACAGGAGCTTTCGGTAGACCAAAAAATATTTCACACACATCACACATAACGTGAATCTAACATACCTTATTAGGAATATAAGAATTACAGACGACACCACATTCAAAGTCAGCATTATTTGATTCCGAAAATTGAAGCCTTTCATCTCCTGTACTTAAACTTTCATAAATGAAAGGAACTGCGCCATATTTGCGGCTCTTAGCTTGAGTAGAGAAGTCTAAATTAAGCTTGGAAATGATTGAACTCTCCAGTTTACACTCTTTGATCAGACTGAAGAAGTACTGAGTAGGTGTCCCGACGTTCCCACGAGGCATCCATGATAGTGGTCTGAACTCAGGTAAACAGCTAAATTCTACAAAAACATAATTAGTATAAACGAATTGTCACTTACGTTCCACAGTTGCATGATCTAATAAATGTAAGGTACATTTCAATTCTAAAGGCACATCGTCATTCTCATTAGGCCAATTAAGACCACTGTATAAACGAAAAAGCTCTTTGATATATTTTCCGTAGATAGAGAAAATAGCACAGCACGTTGTTTTGCTTTTGGCAACTAGTTTGATGGACTTAAGGAACTTGGTTCCATCTATTTCAGTAGTTGGTTCTATACCCACGATATCTGGTCTGTGACGATAGTGAAAACATGAAAATTTAGATGACTCAACGAATTGTGAGAAAAAATTCCTTAAATTAGAAGCGTGGTAAAACTTAGGTATGCCGGAAATCAATAGAAGTTTAGTATCTTCTGCGGAAATTGAACAGGAATCACTAATGTTGTTAGGATAACTCGCATTCAACATCGGATTCCGCAAAGTCAACTTTCGAAACTCTCTTGAAAACAGAAGTGTTTTCAGCTTGTGTTGATGAGCGTAATAACGAAAATATCGATAATCAGATTCAAGATATTTCTACGCCTCCGGTCTTTCATTGGACATACTGTTTGCTAGAAGGAACTGGTGAGCTTTAGGACTTTCGGGATCTGCTTTTGAACTGTATACGTTTCTTGTCTAGGGAGAGGTATATTTCTTATTTCAGTCTCATGGAGACCTAAAAAGATGAAAACATGAGTTAATAATAGTTGTCGGAAAATGCGGCACTAACACAAATGTTATGGTTGCTTTTTTATAGTATTCCAATGTTATTTAAATACTCGAATGCATTTTCCTTGTTATTACCTGTCAAAATGCAACCAGTCGTCAAGTTCACATATTTCTATCGTTAGCTAAACGGCAAGGCTGACTGACATGCACGTCGTAACCTTGAAGTCACCAACTCGTTTCTGACTGGTTCGGGAGCATTCTTTAGGTTAACCATGACATTTTTTAAAGAAACGGCAGATAATATCAGTATTTCTTTCCGTAATGAAACACATAGTTTACAGTTTCCAACCGTAAAATCGTATGATATAAAAACTTCTTGTATACTCTGTGAGGCATTTGAAGTGCATTGATTGATGTATTTCATTATCAGAAGAAACTTGTCATTTGATTCTTATAACGTTCGGAATCAATAAAAATACATATGGTGGAACAAAAGTGTGAAGCTAAGACGATGCTTGAAATAATAAACTATACCTGCTTTTAAGGCAGACTGTGTGCTAAAGTACCTAATATGGTTCAATGAGTAACCGAGTGTCTAAATAAATTGGATAGTATTTTCCCATTCCAACCCTTCTGCTAGATTTTGATCCTAAGTTTCTCAAGTTTGTAAACAGAGGGTTGACGAAGCAATGCATTATAACTGATGTCGGTTTCTAATGAAAACCACCACCCTCATTTGTGCACTCAACATAGAACTCCAGCACTACTCATAATACAACTTCCTAACCTTTTCTAAAATATAACCAATGCCATATGATGATGATAACTACGGGATGATAACCCGAATTATGAACATTATCCCGACTCTCAATATGTGAACTTGAACTTTTTCCTTTACTAAAAAAATCACTTGGCATGAGTGTTGATTGATCAGATCAAAGTTGTTATTCCAATGTTATTTTATTGCGTCTTGTTGTTAATTGTTTGCAACTATGCAGCTTATCCTCATTGACTGATAAGTCACTCTGGTTCATCAGTATGCCGTACTTTCATATCGCACCAATAATATCATGGCGGAATGGAGTCATTTAAAAGATTTTCTACGTCCGCATGGACGCTCCAAGAAGAGCTTTTGAGGAGCCACATGAGTTTTGGTACGAATGTTTCCGTATTCTAATGCAGAAGATCCCACTAGGAACTTAGACGTTCATTAACAACATAAAATAAATTGTCCGCAAACATATTAAGCCTTCCATATTTGAGCTTCGTGATTGAGTAACTGAGTCTAATGATTCATTAGTGTGTACAGCTTGGGATCAGGAAGTATAGTTTAACGTTTGGTTAAAATAGGATAAAGTTTCGGTGAAACGAAGCGCAAGGCTTGATGTCAATTTTTAAATTCTAACATTGACATCACGAATTCCAAATACTCATTGTAATCTGTGCATCAACATGATCCCGTACAGATCCCATTTGATAGATCGGAATTGTTTAGCCACCATAATTTTATGACTTCCAATTACAGTTTTTTTCAAATTGAGATGCCCTTTTTTAAATATTGAAACGTCACTCAATGCTCTCAATATAGTATAGTTGAAACACCAAAATATGCTACGAACCATCAATAGCAGCGCAGCGTATAGGTTGAAATTACTGCTATAGTTAAATGTACAATCTTTATCCTTAAGTATTATAAGTCGGTTGATCTTTATTAATTATCGTTACTAGCATTCTCAGCACTGCTATGCACAGCCGTTTTCAAGTCGTGAAATAATATATGTTCAGTACTTCTTTGTTTCTTGCAAGTGCATGTATGCACTTGTAGTGACTCGCATTTATCACGAGAACACGACTGGTTTAATAAAAACAATTATTATTATAACCAACTGTACCAGTGCTTATTTTAATGTGCTTTTGTTTGACTGTGCTAATGACAGCTATATTTTGCTTCCATTCTTATACGCACACTTTTGATTGCAACTTCGCGCGAATTCGGTTACCTTCTGTAACCAAGTTTGTATCCTGGCACGATCTCGGTATCCTTTCGATACCACGAGATCGCCAGCGAATATATCTCGATTTGGTCCATTACCTGTCCTCTGATATTTGGCTTCTCGGGGATTTTATGGATCTATTTGGTTACGTTCAACCTTCGCCTTCTGATTTATTTGGCACGTGTTTCTCTGTAGCGGTGTTCATAGTCAACCGCGACTCGACACTACGCTACACACTTATCCTGAGGGATATGTGTTTCTTTGATGATAAAGTGGAGGCTATTTTTATAACCAGTATCCATTAGCACACACCAAGGCAGTCTAACTAATTCATTTGGATTAGTTCGGAGTTCAAGATGATAACTCTTGCTACAGATTGTTCTTCGGCATCGGCGATTTTTGGAAACAGAAGTGTCAATGACTTGAGCACTACTTAAAATTCGTTAAAATAGAGAAGAAACTGTACTGATAAATCGATGTTCAAAGTAAACAGTTCTGTTTATCTTCCACTTTTGATGCGGAACTGATTAGTTTTAATGGAAACACCTAGCTGAATGTTTTCGGTCACACGTCTGCACCAGATCATGAGCGGGTACACCATACAACGCTTCTTCTCAGACCATTAGCCAGCTTAGACCTAACGCTTCTCGACACATCGGTAGCCTTTCGAATATAATGTCGAGTCTCTTTACTTCTGACCTCTGATTCGACTGGTTTGGCATACTTCGGTCATAACGGAGTCAATGACATGGGCGTTTTTAAACTCCAGATACTTGTTGCATTTTCATGTGCTTTATTTTATTGTTCTGACCGACAGGCAGCATTTATGATGACGTCCATTGATGTTTTTGGCCATATCGTGCGCTCTAATTGCGATGTTTCTGTCCTCACTTTGAACATCATCAGAAACTATTTCAGGAGAGAGCAGTTACTTTACCATTCATATGTTGTTTAAAGTTCGTTAAATGTCGACACCTAAAATAGAGATACGAAGTGAATTAGTTGAATGTACCGATCTCTTTACTAACCTTGGAATTTCAGTAGTGATGATTGAATAAAATTTGGCTATCAACACAAATTATAATAATAATTTAGGAAAACATATGAACTTAGGTGACGTACACCGGACGTTGAATGCTTGACGAAAAGTAATGAAAGTCGGTCCTGGTAGACGTGAGAATATTCCCGAGGCTACCTGGCTGAGCCCTACACTCGTATTCACCTCAAATGTACATCTTTTGTCCTTATGTATTACATATTTTTCTGTCGGCGAGGTTATATTCATTGGTCGAATCAAGGTAAGAAATAGTGTTTCCTCGGCATAAGATCATGTAAGTCAGCAAGTCATATCTTGACTAGTCAACTGCAGTATACCATGTCTGTTAACTTAATGGCATAAATGGATTAATTAACAACGACTACAGACTCAAGTACTGCATATCCTTTATTAGTTACGTGATTTAAATTCGAAAAATACCGTGTTCCAGAGCGAGTTGCATGTAGGTCACGTTTTTTGATAAATTTGTGTCACATCCATGAAATCACAATCCAATTTTTTTGTTCAGTGGTATTCATATGGATTCTCTTATTGTAATAATAATGAGTATTCACAGTGAGCATACTAACTTAATCGATAAAAATAACTAGTCGATTATGGCCGTGATTATCTGTTTTGGTTCTTCATTAAGCTTTACAAGCATTCAAATGCTTCGGGGTAATGACTTTGTTTGGACACCAAACACTTTTAAATACGGCACCTGGTAAATGTAAATATATGGAACCTTTGTGTACAAAATCAAGCTCACAAACTTCATACAGGCAGACACCCCTCGGTTTATCTATAGGGGAAACCAGACCAGTGGTTCAAGGCAAGGTATAAACGGTAATCCCTTTCAAATCTGTCCGCCGTTTCGTTTCAACGACCTTGAACGCGCTGACTGGAAGCGGGCAATCCGTATTTCAATTGCCGTGTGTGTGTTGGGTCCTATGAGTATTAAATGTTTCCATATATAAGTCATCTTTTGATGCATAATAAACACTAAATAACTGCTAAGAGCATTAACTGAGTATTTTCTGTTTTGTAGTGCACACTTTAGCTCTGTTGTTCCTTCGAAACTTGATCTGTGGTCCTAAGTGCTGTAGTGGAAGTCAACAGCTATATATAATTTGTTGATAAGGTCCAGAAAACAACGTAAGAAAGATAAAATAACGTAAAAGGTTATAGATGCGCCTAGTTTCTGTGAGTTAAGACGAAGTGTCAACTGAAGGGTAAGTCCTAAATATTTGTTGTTCTTCCTTCAGTTAATTTTTTTCAAGGAATAACCTTTTTTTAATAACTATTGTATGTTGTCTCTAGTGCTTCATGCTCAAGTGAAATTTCAGTGAACGTAAGCGACGCGTTCCAACGTATTATGCTGAACAAGAGATTCGGAAGCTGGATTAAAGTATGATAGGATAAACCTATGTTTTCTCAGATGACCCATACACACTATGTTCACGCAGAAAGTAGATTGTTGAAGGATGTGAGATATAAATACTTGTTCGTAGTGTTTCGTTGCACGTTTGGTCGTAAACGTAAATCAGAAGGTCTGAATGTGAATAAAAAACCGTGAGGACTCTAACTAATGTGTTACATTTAAGGTCTAAATTTTTAAATTGCCAATCGATGTTTCGCGTAAGATTGGAGGGTCAACAATACGTTATAAAATCTTACAACATGTCTCACAACCATCGGTGTACTAGTTCGTGGATGGTTTGTGATCCGTT